TTGCCAAGTGATTTTACATATCCTTGGCTGAGCTCAGTCCACCTCCACTTTCCATCCCTGCACTAACTTTGCCCTTCTTTTTTTTTTTTTTTTTTTTTTTTTTTGTTTTTTGTTTTTTGTTTTGAGACAGAGTCTCCCTCTGTCACCCTGGCTGGAGTAAAGTGGCACAATCTCAGCTCACTGCAACCTCCACCTCCTGGGTTCAAGAGTTCTCCTGCCTCAGCCTCCTGAGTAGCTGGGATTACAGGCATGGACCACCATGCCCAGCTGATTTTTTTATATTTTTAGTAGAGACAGGCTTTCACCATGTTGGTCAGGCTGGTCTTGAACTCCCGACCTCATGATCCACCCATCTCGGCCTCCCAAAGTGCTGGGGTTACAGGTGTGAGCCACCGCGCCCGGCTCTAACTTTGCCTTTCTGAGCCTCTGTCTCCTCCTCTGTAGATAGGGATTCATGAGGAATGCATATAAGTGGTTACGTGGCAATCACACGTACCAGGTGCTCAACAGAACGCAGCATGGTTATTATTGTTGCTTTTTTGAAAATGTGCTACAACTCCTGAAAGCCACATAGCACCCTTCTGTTCTCTCTCCTTCACAAAAACCTTTCAGGTATTGGCAAGCAGTGATTTTGTCTCTGCATGGGCCCACGCTTTCTCTTCTCAGGACTCAACAGCCCTTTCCCTTTAACTGTTCCTCGGATGACAGTTTCGAGTCTCCCCCACCATGCTGCGGCTCATATACTTCTGATCATGTTTCACTTGTCTCCATGTCTCCCAAGGTGGGTGACCCAAGTGGCTGGGGTCTGACTGGTACAGACTAGAGCTGACTGACACCTCCCTCTAGGGTTTGGCCATCCTGCAATGGTAAATGTTGTGCTGGGGGGGCATGGAGTGTTTAATAGTATCACGGTGGCCTCTGCAATACGGGCTCTGTCATTCTCTCCCGTCTCAGCTTCCCTACCTCCCACCTGTGGCCTCTCAGTTCTCTGTATGTGTCATGTACTTTCTGCAGCCTCCAGGCCCTTGCACGTGCTGTTCCATCTGTCTGGAGCACACCTCTCCATCCCCAGGCTCCTTCACCATGCACATGTCATCTGGGCATCTGCTACTTGTTCACATCTCAGCCTAGACACCACTTCCTCCAAAAGCCCTCCCTAACTCTAAGACCTGTTCCTTTGGGCCTCCAAAGTCTTCTAAACTTTTCTTACCCTCATTCTTGCCCCAGGGTTATAAACGTTTGGTAGCTTCACTGTTTCTCTCACTTCCAGATTAGTAATTTCTTGAGAGCAGGTCAGTGTCTTCTTCCTGCCATATCTATAGTGCCTAGCACAGAGTAGATGCTCAAGAAATACATGTTGGATGGATGGATGGATGAATGAATGAATGAATGAATGAATGAATGAATGAATGAATGCCACTGCCAGCTCAGAAGGACTGCCCTCCCCTTCATCACCCAGGCCCAGCCCACATGCCCAGTTCCCTCCTGGGTCATCACTGACCTTTTCCAGGGCCTCCTTCAACACGGGGAGTGGGTGGGCCAGGGGCACAGGCTCAGGGTGCCGGGGGCACATCCTCACAGGGGCAGAGGTCTCCACTGGTCCCAGGGAACCTGGAGGGAACATCACATGGTGAGGAGGGGACAGAGATCAGGATAGGAATCTAGGGGGAAAGTGGCAGCAAGGGCCAGAGCAGTGCCTTGAGGACAGCCCTCCCCAGCCAAGCCAAGCCAGGGGATATCAGGGTGCAGAGACCAGCCATAGCCCCTGAGGGGCCTATGGAGCAGCATGTGTCCTTGGGGAGGAGGCACAGCCCTGCAGGCCACAACCACTACTGGTTGGTGGTCACTGTACTCCCCTCTCTCTTGCTTAACAAATTTCCCATCTCCCTGTGGTCAGTGGACTTAGACCATTCTGGCTGCGTGGGGCAGGCTCAGCCATGTCTGTCTGTCTGTCTGACTTGCCTTCATCCTGATTATGTGTTTGGATGGACTTCGAGCCCGCTTAGGATCCAGGCCTAAACCACAGCGACAACTTATTCTCTCACCAGAGCTAAGCATCGGGGCTTTGGGGTCCTGAGTCAGTTCTGCCTTTGTCCGGGTGTATGACTTCCTCGGCACCTCAGGGGAGAAGGTGAGGTGCTGGCAGGGCAGGATTCAGGCTGTGATATCATCACAGCAGCACCCAAGCCTTTTCCTCTAAGTCTGGATGGGGTGTGAAGGAGGATGAGCACCCTCCAGGACTATTAATACATCCTCCTTGTCTTCCACTGCACCCTGAGACTCCACCCAAAACTGAGACAAGGTCCCTGCGGTAGGTTTCATATGACCATAAATTCTATTTTTTCTTTTTTTTTTTTTTTTTTTTTTTTTTTTTTTTTTGAGACAAGCGTCTCACCCTGTTGCCCAGGCTGGAGTGCAGTGGTGCAATCTCAGCTCACTGCAACTTTTGCCTCCCAGGTTCAAGCGATTCTCCTGCCTCAGCCTCCCAAGTAGCTGGGACTACAGGCGTGCACCACCACGCCCGGTTCATTTTTGTATTTTTAGTAAAGCCAGGGTTTCATGATATTGGTCAGGCTGGTCTTGAACCCTGACCTCAGATGATCCACCCGCCTCCGCCTCTCAAAGTGCTGAGATTACAGGCAGTGCTCAGCCATATGACGATAAATTCTGTCAGCTCCTTCCACCTTCGAAGCTGGCTGGCTTTGTGGCTGGCCAAAAGAATGAGGCGGAACAAATTGCCACCTGCCTAGGCTAGACCTTACGGGGCTTACTCCCTGCGAACACTGCCACCTTGTGGACGGATCTGGGATAGCGGCCTTGAGAGCGAGAGTCCACGCTGAGGGAGAGGTCGGTCCCTCCTCCACCCACCACCCCGCCCCCTAAGCTGACTTGCCCGCTGCACCGGAAAGAGCCCAGGCTAGACCAGCAGCAGAGCTACCAGCCAGCCCACAGAATTATGGGAAATAATCACTTGCTTTGTCTGAAGCCAGTAGGCTTTGGGGGTGATTTGTTACTTAGCAATAGATAACTGACACAGTCCCAAACAGGAAAATTACAAACCTTAGGGAGGATTTCTCAACAACCCCATGACATGGGTTTCACAGAATAGGGTGGTCCCAGCTACAGCCTAGGCTTTGTTCAGCCTGGGACCCAGGTAGGGGCTGGTGTCGACAGTGGTGCTCCTCCCACTTTAATTGGAAAACAGAGGGCCTGGTAGGCATCACTAGCAGTGGTGGCTCCTTTATTGAGCCTTGACCCACCCAGGAAGGAGAGGCTCCAAGGCTTGGCAGCTGCTGCCCCTGAACACCTGTGAGTTGTTCCTATTGAGGTCTTACACACAGCTGCAGGAAAGTCTTGAAAGGGGGCTGGAGCCCGGAGATTCCATCATGGTGATCAAAGGCAGAGGAAGGGAAACACCATTTGCTCTTTCTTTGGTGTCCTTGAATTTTACCCCCAAACTGGGTGTCTTGAAGAACCCCAGTGGCATCAGGATCTTCATTTTATACACGAGGGCATCAAGGCACAGAGAGGCCACAAGACTGTCCCAAAGATGCACAGCTAGTAACAGCTGGACTCAGAATGGAGGCCAGAGCTTCTGAGTCTAAATCTTATGGTCCTTCCCTACACCCTAGAATCAGGGTGGCAGCTCGAAGCCCAGGAGGACCCAGAGGGGCTATGGGGAGGAACTCTAGGCTGTCTCTGCACTCACCGGTCTTCAGCTTGGGGAGATGATACTGCCACAGGAAACAGCCAGTCATGACCACTGAGAGCAGGCAGAAGAAGCTACAGATGGACGGGAGGAGCCACTTCTTCTTCACTTTCAGTAAGTTGGGCCGCCAGCCAACCTGGGAGAGCAAGGACATAGGGTACAGTCCCCTTGGGGGTCAGAGGGACAGAGGGAAAAGAGGGACCCTAACCCTGGCCCCTCCTAGGCCTCAGTTTAGCCAGATGTCACAAGAGCCCACAACTTTGGATAAACTTCACAGTTGTGAAACCAATGCCCTTCCCAGTGTGACTCTTTCAATAGTTCTGCCCTGCAAAAGCACCCACCCCTCTGCTTGCTGTACCTCGTTCCTCTATGGACTTAGTGAAATGTTGTAAGACCAGCTGAAATGCCACCTCCTCCAGGAAGATTTCCTCAACTCTCCTGTGTTAGTCTGTTCTCAGGCTGCTAATAAAGGCATACCCAAGACTGAGTAATTTATAAAGGAAAGAGGTTTAATTGACTCACAGTTCAACATGGCTAGGGAGGCCTCAGGAAACTTACAAGTATGGCACATATTTCATTCTTCCACTTATATAAAATGTCTAGATAGACAACCCATAGAGACAGAAAGTAATTACTGGTTCCAGGGGATGGGGGGTAGCAAGGAATGAAGAGTCACTGCTAATGCCTTTTAGTTTTTTGGGGGGTGATGAAAATGTTCTAAAATTGATTATGGTGCTGACGGCACAATCTTGTAAATATGCTATAACCACTGAATTGTACACTTAACAATGATGAATTTTATGTCATTCTCAATACAATTCCTTGAAAATAATAGTACCTACTTGTATTCAGTTGCAAGGATTGAATGAGTTAATAAATTAGAAGAGTAGCTGGCACATGGTAACACTACATATATGTTAGCTATTATTGAATGCCTCCTATGTGCTAGGCACTGAGCCAGATATTGAGGATATACTGATGAACAGAAAGGAACTCTTCCCTGCCTTTTGGAGATTTACAGTTTTAGGAGGAGATGGGTGTTAACCAAATATTTCATTAACTCCTCCTTGCCTACCTCCCTTGCTCAAAGGCACCTCTTCCACTTCTGTCCTACAAACGTGGTATTTGTCCCCCTTGCCTCTTCTATCCTCAGCACACACACAATCCCTCGATGGTGAATTACCAAATCAGAAATGAAAGGAGGCATCACTACAGCTCCTACAGAGAAATATTATGAACAACTATATGCCAATCCATTTGACAGTTTAAATGTGGACAAATTCCCTGAACGACTCAATCCCCAGGTGATCTCATGCACAAGGACACCAGCCACATGCTAATGGTTTCCGATTCTCTCCTGCCCAGCTCTCTCCCCTCTACTTCAGACTCCCATTTCAACTGCCTGCTAAGCATTTCCACCTGGAAGTCCTCAAGCACCTGGAACTCAACATCCGGAGGAGAAAACTCACTTGTTTCACTCCCTCCTCCTTCTCTCGTGTTTTCAACATCAGTTCGTGGCACCTGCCTCCACTTAATCATGCTTCAGGGTCTGCCTGGGCCCCTCTATGTCCTTCAATCCCTACCTCCAGTCAGTCATCAAGCCCTCCTGGCCTATTATAATTAGAAAATATTTCAAGGTTACTGAAAAATATACACTGGGCCCAGCGGCTCACTCCTATTATCCTAGCACTTTGGGAGGGCAAGATGGGAGGATCACTTGAGCCCAAGAGTGTGAGACCAGCCTGGGCAACATAGTAAGACCCTTTCTCTACAGAAAAATTAAACATTGGCTGGGTGAAGTGGCTCACACCTGTACTCCTAGCACTTTGAGAGGCCAGGACGGGTGGATCACTTGAGCTCAGGAGTTCAAGACCAGCCTGGGCAACATGGCAAAACCCTGCCTCTACAAAAAATAGAAAAATTAGCCAGGCGTAGTGGTGTGTGCCTGTAATACCAGCTACTCAAGAGACTGAGGTGGGAGAATCACTTGAGCCTGGGAAGTGGAGGTTACTGTGAGCCAAGATCACACCATTGCACTCCAGCCTAGTGACAGAGAGAGACCCTGTCTCAAAATAAATAAATATAAAAGTAAAAATTAGCTGGGTGTGGTGATACATGCCTATGGTCCCAGCTACCCAGGAGTCTGAGGTGGGAGGATTGTTTGAGCCTGGGAGGTCGAGGCTACAGTGAGCTATGATTGCACCACTACATGCCAGCCTGGACGACAGAGCAAGACCCTGTTCCTTGCTCTCTCTGTCTCGGTCTCTGTCTCTCTCTCTCTCTTTCTCTTTCTCCATATATATACACACACACACACACACACACACATATACACACACACATATATATACACACACATATACATATATATAATGGTGCCATATATATATATAGAGAGAGAGAGAGACTTGTAATGAATTCTTGGGCACTTACTCAACTTTGTTGAATCTTAACATTTTATCATAGTTTTCTCATATATTTACATTTTTCAAATATACTATGTCATTACTTATTTACTTTGTTCAGTTTCCCCATCCATAAGGATTGTTGTTTGTTTTGTTTACTGAGGTATTCCCAGTACCCAAAACAGTTCCTGGAACATAGCTGACCCTAATAAATATTTGTTAAATGAATGACTGGATGAAAATAAAACATTCTAGGTGGAGTTGAAGCCCTCTGTGTACCTTTCATGGATCTCAGTCCCTTCCCACTCTCCCCAAATGTAACACCCATGCTGATCTTGGTGTTTATCATAATTATGCACATGTTTATTCTTTTACTATTTGTTTATGTTTCCATAAACAGCATATAGTATTGTTTTGCACATTTTTTGAACGTATATAAATGATTTCATATTGTATAATCCTCCTGCAACTTGCTTTTTATTCAATTAGCTAACTACAGTTCTGGATTATTCATTTTGACTTCTGTAGAGTGTGCTGTTGTATAAACATACTGAGTAGTGTAGTAGTTAGAGCCTGAGGCCAGACTACCTTAAAAACGTGATTATTTTACAGTCCAGTTGGGAATCCTGTGCTAAAAGTGAAATTTCTGGGTGGCAAGGTACAGCCATCTTCACCTTAGCCACATACTGTTCTGTTCCTCCCTAAAGCTGTCATTCCAATTTTTACTCGTCCCACCTTTGATTCTCATTGCTATTAATATCTTTAATCTGCATCTTCTTGGCGGCTAATAACATTGAATACCTGTTCATGTGTTTATTGTACGTATTTGGATTTGATTTTCTTCAGTTGGACTATTCTCCTTTGCCTGGTCTTTTTCTATTCTCTTTTCTTTACTTATTAGAGTTCTTCATACACTCTTGTTTGTGGCTTGATTTTCACTCTGTGTTGATAACTTTTGTGGAGAGGTAGAATAGTGTAGTGGTGAATCCATGGCCAGATTGCCTGATCTGCAATCTTAGCTCAGTCACTTACCACTGTGTGACCTTAAGAAAATCAGTTAACTTCTCTGTGCTTCTGTTTCCTCACCTGTAAAATGGGGATGATAATAGTGCCTAACTCATAAATTTGTGAGGATTACATGAGTTAATATATGAAAATAACATTCTCTGACACATCGTAAGCCCTATTAGCTATTACAGTATTTTGGGATTGTTTTGAGACAGTCTCGCTCTGTCACCCAGGCTGGAGTGCAGTGATGTGATCAGTTTTTGCTTTTTTTGTGGAGACAGGGTCTCACTATGTTGCTCAGGCTGGTCTCAGACTCTTGGGCTCAAGTGATCCTCCCACCTTGACTTCCCAAAGTGCTGGGATTACAGGCGTGAATCACTGTGCCTGGCCAGCTATTACAGTATTTTTGAATAGGAGGGCTTTTGGTTTTGGTTTTGGTTGTTGCCAAATTTATCAGTATTGTCTTTTTGGTTTGCATTGTGTGTATAGTGCATGTGTGTGCTTAAGAAATCTTTCTTTTCACGGAGGTCAGAAATAGAGGTTTTTGTACTGTCACACACAAAAGAATTTTTGGTTATAGAATAAAGTAGGGATCCAATTTTATTTTTCCATATGGATAATCAGTAGTCCGGTACTATTTATTAAATACACCAACCTGTCCCCCACTGACTCGCATGCCAACTCTGAAATATATCAACAGTCTGTACCTACAGACATCTGCCTTCTGGGCTCTGTTCCAGGAGAGTCTCGCTGAGTTTATGTTCCATCCCTCCCTGTCCAACCCTGCACTCTCTTCCACAACAAAGATCGCTCACATGTTGAGCACAGTGTGCCAGGCTCTGTTCTACAGGAAACAATCTGGCAAGAGAGACTTTCTATGATCCGACTCCGACAAACTCCACCAGCCCATTCCCTGCCCCTCCCCTGGCCCCTGTGTCTTTATGCCCCCACCTACCTCCTGCATCATTGCCCCTCTCTGTACTTTTGCACCTGCCATTCCCTGGGGCTGTGGTTTCCTTTTATCCTTTTCCATCAGACAAACTGTGTTCTTCCCTTAACACCCACAGGCATCTGTGAAGCCTTCTCATTCTCCCCCAGGCAGAGCCACTCATGGTAACTGGCTACTACTGGCTTCTTTGTCTAGGTCCCTGTGAGGTAAGGATTCTTTGCAGCACCAGCAGAGAATTCCCTCCTGGCTCTTAGGCCTTGGATACCTGGTACCCTACCTGGCACTAGCAGGTTCTCAGGAAATTCTTTTGAACTTTACATGGTCCTGCAAGTTGAAAGACTTGGGTTCAAATCTTAGCTCCACCTCATGAGTCAGTTGTAACTCTGAACAAGTCTCTTCCCCTCTGAGCCTCTACTTCTCCAGGTGTTGAAGAGGGTTGGGCTACTTGTAAAGAGTTTACTTTTATATCTGGAAATCTTGTGTGATTTCAAAAGTGTCTTTCAGCTGTAGAATCTGGGGTTCTCACTGAAATCATCTTTGGTCATAATATCCAAAGACTGGAAACAACCCAAATTCTCCTCAATTGGTGAGTAAACAGACAAACTCTAGTAAATAGACATCTACACAAGGGAATACTACTCAGCAATGTAAAGGAACGAGCTACTGATACATGCAATAATGTGGATGAACCTTAAAGGCAAGATGCTAAGTGAAATAAGCCAGACTAAATGGCTACAGACTATAGAATACAACTTATAGAACATTCTGGAAAAGGCAAAATGATAGGAACAGAAAACAACTCAGTGGTTGCCTGGGGGTAGGGATGGGGTAGACTACAAAAGAGCAGAAGGGACTTTGGGGAGGTCATGGAACTGTGCTACATGTTTGTTGTGGTGGTGGTTATGGGATTGTATACATTTACTGAAACTTATAGAACTCTGGGAGGCCGAGGCAGGAGGATCACTCGAGGCCAGGAGTTCAAGACCAGACTGGGCAACATAGCAAGACTCCGACTGTAAAAAAAAAAAAAAAAGAAAAAAATTGCCAGGTGTGCTGGCATGCACCTGTAGTCCCAGCTACTTGGAAGGCTGAGGTGTGAGGATTGCTTGAGCCCAAGACTTAGAGGCCGTAGTGAGCTATGATGATGCCACTGCCCTCCAGCCTGGGCAACAGAGCAAGACCCTGTCTCAAAAAAAAAAAAAAACTCATAGAACTGCACAGATTTTATTTCATGTAGATGATACCTCAATTTTTACAAAATAAAGCCTTTAAAGATCCCAAAAGCACTGGGATTCTCCACCTGTTGGAGGAGTAACCCCAGATACAAAGGAGTGAATGGAAGGCTCTCAGATATTGCTGCAGGATCACATGGAAGATACTCCCCCTAGCATGAACACAGAGCTGCAGGGGCAGTGAGGACCCCTTGGTGGGAAGGCAGCCTGCTATCCCCTAACTGGCACCTAAGATGTGACCAGCAGATCCTTAGCTTATTTTTAGGTGAAGAATAAAATTCAGAGACGTTAATTGACTTGCTGAGTCCACGGGCAGTGAATGGCAGAGCTGAGATTCAAGCTCTGTAAGATGCACCACCCGCTCCTCCTCAAAATGCAGCGGGGATCTCTTCATCCCCAATTTACAGCCCTCCTCTGGGGCCCAGCCTCATCTCAAGTCTGTCTCCAATCTCAGGATTTATTCCAACAGACCCGAAGGTGGGTCAGTATTTAATCCCTAAGCTGCTTGCCAGCTGCTCACAGTTTGACTTGCAGTAGCCACTAGAAATCTCTCTCCTTTCCCTTCCCAGCTAGAAAATTGCTGGCAGCAGGGGAGGGCCCAGGAAGAACCAGGCTCTCCCAAACTCCACCTATAACATGGCTCCGCCACCCCCTAACCCCTGCTCCTTCTCAGGTGTTCTGTGCCCCAGTCACCCTCACCTCCTTCCTCATGCTCACAGCCCACTCTGGGACGACTACTCTTTGTCCAGTCATTCATTCAGAAAACAATCCCCGAGGGCTTGCTGTGTGCTGGGCCACATCTGCCCCCGCGGAGCCAGCAGGATGGTGGCATAATCAGACACAAGGGCCTGGGGCCAGGGAAGCAGGACTTGACTCTGGCTCTACCACTTGTTCTGGACAAATGACCTCACCCTTCTGAGTCTCAGTTTTCTCATCTGCATAATGCAGATAACAATTCTTCCTACATTTTATAGGGTTTAGTTGAGAATAAATAAGATAGTGCATGCAAAGCCCATAGAGAGCTGTTCACCAGTTGGTAGCTAGAGGTGTAATAAAGGGTTTCAGGGCTCACAGATACGGATGAGCTCAGCCTAGGGGGAGGGAGGAGGAGGAGAGAGTCATTGAACAGGTAGTTGGGAATGAGCTTGGGTCACTCCAGACAGAGGCCTCTGGGGATGTAAAAAAGGAAGAGTAGTTAGTTTCTGGTTTGTTTTGAGAATTCAGTGAGTTTATGTAAAACATTTGAAACTGTTCCTAAAACATTTGAAACAGTTCCTGGCCTGCAGGTGCAAGCTCTAGAGATGATGATGATGACGATGATGATGATGATGATGATGAAGGTCATGTAGGGGGGATTTAGCCCAATATTTGAAGCCAGCAGGATGGTGGCATGGTCAGACATGTGTCAGAAGCTGACACATGGTGACGGCTTCTTGGGGCTGTGCCTCACCTGGGTCTTCATTCTCTCCAAGGCATGGAAGATTCTGGCTCTTTGAGGATTCAGGTCTACACCACAGGAGATCCTGTAAGCAGGAAACTGAGTCAGAGGAGTGAAGGCAAAAAGAGGTCCTGAGGGGCTGGCAAAAAGAGGAGGGGAACAGAGAAAAGCTAGAAAACAAGGAGGGTAGCCGAGGATGCAGGGGACCAAAGTAACCCTCCCCTTCACATGTCCCCGCTGTCAGGTGAGACCAGGCTCAGAAACCCCTGCCAGGTGACCCAGCATTCCGGTTTGTTCAGCACTGTCCTGATTTTAGCACCGAAAGTCCTGCATTCCCAGAAACCCTTCAGTCCCAGGTAAACGGGACCGTTGGTCATCCTGTGTGCCCCTGCATTGAATTCCAGCTCCTCTTCCCCCCACCGCCTGCCACCCCCCTAAGCCTGCTCAGAACAATCTGGTTAGGCCCTCAGGCTCTTGGCCACCACTTACCCTCTTCAGAAGGTGCCAGCAAGAACAGGGCAGTTCAGACCCCAGCTTGGCCAACCAGTGCCTCTGGGAGTCCCCTGTGTTCCAGGGAACAGGAATGGCTTCCCAAGCTCTGAGGCACAGGCTTTACCAAGCTCTCCAGGGGCCGGCAGATGTGGCGCCTAATTTCCCCAGCGCTAATCCCCCAGAGTGCCTGCTGCCATGCGGATTAGCTTCTGGGGTCCCCGAGCAGCGGGGAAGCGGGGGAGAGCTGTCAGGGAACACCGGGTAACACCATGTGACCTGAGTGCTCCAGGCTGGTGAAGAAAGGAACGCTCTCTCCAAAAGGAGTCTCTGCCAAACCCAGTGTGGACAAGGGATGTCAGGAGGCCACCAGGGTCACTTCCAGCCGGGAAGGGAAAGGAGAGAGATTTCCAGGCTTGGTCTGACCCCACACAAGCTCCGCAGGCACCTCTGAGGAACCCAGAGCTCCAAGGAACCAGTTTGAAGACCACTGGGGTCAGCCTAGTTGTGAAACATTCAGATAACCTGGGTTCAAATATTAGTCTGTCACTGCCAGTGTGAGCCTGTGTGACCAGGGATCATAACCTCTTTGCCTCACATCTATAAAGTGGGGACAATAATACCACCTTGGTTAGTGTGCGGGTTAAATGGAATGTACTCATGAAGCAGGCAGCCCAGAACCTGTCACCCAGTAAGTGCTCCATAAAGTCTGGCTTCTTATCATGGACTGGG